TCTCGGTGCCCCATGAAGTCTTGGAAGAACGGAGAGACGGCAGTGAGCACAATGCATATTGCCCTGCCTGCTGCTGGGCACATCTTTTTGGAGCGTTGGCTGTGCTGGACACCTTTGAGGGGGAAATTCTGGGAAACAAATACAGATCAATTCTAGAGCAGAATGTGGTGTTCTCGACCAAGACACCAAGCTGCCCCCACACACCCTGGGGAGGTTATAAACTCAGCCTCCTCCGTATACTTTGGGGGTCTTAGGGGAAGAGTAGGTGGGGTTGGTGGGAGGGGTGGCCCAGTTTTCCAGCCATTTCAGTCATGAAGCCAAGTTTAAGAAATAGCCCTGGCTAGGTCCCTCGGTTGCAGCATCATCCCAATACACCCAAGTTGCAGGTTTGATCCCCAGTCAGGGCACGTACAAGAAGCAACCAATGAGTGCATAAATTAGTGAAACAACAAATTCTCTCTCCCTCCCTCCCTTTCTCCCTGCTCCCTTAGATCTTTCTAAAGTCAATAAATTTAAAATCAATAAATTTAATTTCTAAATTAAAATCAATTCTAAAATCAATAAATTTTAAAAAACTATTTTTAAAAAGAGTCCGTCAGGGAAGAGTAGAAAGACTATGCTCAATAAGGCCAGAGTTCTAACCCCAGGGCTGGGCTTTCTGCCCCTGCGACGCCGGGCAGTTTACTTGAGCACTCCAGGGCTCAGATTTGCGTCTGTAAAATGGGTATAGGGATGCCTGCTTCTTGGAGTCGCCGTGGGAAGAGAGACGAGCCGTGAGGACCCCATTCAGTGTGCCTGGCCGTTGTGTTAGTCATTTGTTAGTGATTTTGTTTTAAATGAAAGGCTGTTGTTGGTGACTAAGGTGAGACATTTTCTGGAGTAGACAAGCAGCTTTAAGGCTAGACTTCTGGCTTGCAGAATGATGGCTTCCCAGAAGTAGCTTTAGCTTTTCGCCTTCTTTTACCTTGACTTTCCTCTCCTGTGTTCAGTCTGGAGCCAGAGCCTGTCGCGCCCTCCCCTGTGCTCTGTGATTGCATTCTGTCTCTGCCTCTGCCTCTGCCTCTGTCTCTGCCTCTGTCTCTGTCTCCCTCTCTGTCTCTCTCTGTCTCTGTCTCCCTCTGTCTCTCTCTCTCTGCCTCTGTCTCTCTGTCTCTGTCTCTGTCTCTGTCTCTCTCTGTCTCTCTCTGTCTATGTCTCCCTCTGTCTCTCTCTCTCTGTCTCTGTCTCTCTGCCTCTGTCTCTCTCTGTCTCTCTCTGTCTTTCTGTCTCTGTCTCTCTCTGCCTCTGTCTCTCTCTGCCTCTGTCTCTGTCTCTCTGTCTCTCTGTCTCTCTGTCTCTCTGTCTTTCTCTCTGTGTGATCAGTGTGAGGACACAGGAGAAGTGTGCGAGAGAACCAGGACCACACTCACATGTCCGGTCTCCATGATCAGTACTCTTCCCCCCGTCCCCCCTGCCCCCCCATCCCCCGAGCTGGGTAGGACCACGGGTCCAGCGGGCAGTGGCGCAGTGCTGGGTTCTCGAGGAAATGGGGAGACAGAGCCATTCAGCGAGACCCCCCGGCTCTGAGGACAGCTCACTGTGCAGCCCTGGCTGAGTCACTCCGCCCCTCTGTGCTCACAGAGAAGCAGGTAGGCAGCTGAGGGGAGTAAGTATTATCAATGATGATAGCAATCAGCACACCTGCTTGCACGATGCCAAGCACTTTCTGTGTTACCTCCCTCAGTCCTGTGGGGAGCGTCGGGGTGAATTCGGGGGAGAGGGAGGACAGAGCACTGAAGCGAGGGACTTCATGGCCATGTGACCACACGGCACACAGTACACACAGTACGTACGCTTGAGAAACCCAGCAGACGGCGACCCGAGAGCAGGGCGAGGTGGGGCAGGGGGAGCTGAGCAGGGGCCGGACCTCGCGGGGCCTCGGGGGCCCCCGGGTAGGGAGCGTGTGGTCCCGAGACAGACGGGCCACCTGTTAGCTGCCTCCTTGCCTCCCCTCGTCTGCCCTGTCTCCCCTCGTGGACACGACCTTCCGCACACTCAGGCTCTTACTTGTCTTTCTCCCTTTTTATACCGTGAGTTCCTGAGGGCAGGGACTGGGGCTCATTTATTTATGTCTCTCTGGTGCTTTGCACAGAGTCTGGTACATACTGGACTCAATAAATGATTGTTAAATCAAATATTTAATATAGTATTTAATATTTAATAATATTAACATGTTCAATATTTAATAACTTATACATTCGTTATATATAGTTATTAGTACCTATAACAATATTTCCATTATGTAAGCATTTCTGCTATAGAACGATAGATGCGCTTCTACAGAACCTTGCATTCAGAAAAATTCCAAACTCACAGTGCCTCTGGGGACCATTGGGGTGCAGCGGAGCCTCCCAATTCAGACAGTGCTCTAATGAAGCCCAATCCTAGATGTGACATTGGCACAGTGTAAAGGACACGCTGAAATCTGAATTTAAAGAAAACCAGCTATTTAGGACCTGAGTCCCTGCAGGGCTGTATTTTCAAAACCCAGAGGGAGCTCTTGGGGGAGGGGCGAGAGCAGGGTGAGGCTGCTGCACGGCAGGGGGAGGCGTTTTTTTTCTGGAGGGAAAGCAGTTGCACACTTTGCCAAAATGCACAGGGACGCACGAGCTAGCCTGTGGCCTTTGCCCAAAGACCAGGGGAACTGAACAACAAGAGCTTCTGAGACAGAGCACGTGGCCCCACCGGCCGCAGGAGGAGGGGTGTGGAGCCAGTGGGCGTCTGGACAGCGAGGAGTCCTCTGTCGCTTGCTGGGTTGGGGCGCGTTCCATCCAGCCGCTGTCACTTGGTGACGTGAAACATTGCTGTGGCGGGAACATCTCCGATGGACCAGTGCGACCCCCACATGTCATTGACATCCGTCCCCTATTCACCTTGTGTGCGTGCCCTCTTCCGCTTTGTGGAAGCGAGTGCCGTCGAACAAACAATATACGTTCAAATCCATGTTTCACAGACACACCAGGAATGCCGACTGGCCGGTTTACCTCGAGGAAGGTGCCGGTCACCCTCCCCATGTGGGCTGAGGACCGCTGTCCCCTTGGCCTAGGAGTCAGTTCTGCAAACTCACCAGTCAGAATGTAGAGTACGACCCTGAAGGTGGATGATGTGATGGGATCTCTCTCCCCATCAGCGGCAGCAGTGGTCACACCGCCAGACTTGGAGTCAGTGGACCCCCACCCAGGCTTGCCCCAGCGCTGTGTGACCACAGGAGAACCACTTAACCTCTCTGTGCCTCGGTTTTCTCAATGGCAGAACAGCGCTAGTGACACTCCCCAAGTTCTTTGAAGGAGCAGATTGGCTAGTGGACGAAAAGTTCTTTCTACAGTAAAAACTCTGCAGGGTTTTGCAGGGTGTTGTCACGGCAGTGCCTGGACTATCCAGGTTCGCCTGCCGCCTGGGGCCCTTCTCCCGCTGGGCGGTTAGTTCTGAGGGCAGTGGGCGAGAGCGCTAAACTTGCGGGAGTCGAGGTCTATTCATCCCTGGGATTCGATGCAGAAGCTTGAATTTCCCTGCAGGAAGGGGGCCCGGAACATCTGTCTGGGGGATTTGGCTGGCCTTTGTCCACAGCAAGGAAGAGGGGAACCCACCCCCCTCTCTGAGCAGCCTCCTGTGCACCTGAGATCACTGCCCCCCCCACCCACCCCCGGCTGAGTGCCCTTCCCACATCACGTGCCCCCGGCTCAGCCCTGCCTGCCCCTCCACCCTCTCATCCTCCTTCCCCAAGACGGTGCCGTCAGAGAGGCACCAGCTTGGGCATCCCGTGCACGTGGGTTTCAATGAACTCTACGTCTGACCAGCTCTACAACCACAGTGGCCAAGTCCTGGCTTCTCTCCGCCCGTGTCCTCCCCTCGGCCCCCGAGAATGGGCTGTGACAAGCGACTGACCTCCCACCGTCCATGATTAAGAGCATATACACGAGCACTTTGCAGACTTGAATGTGCCCAGGAATCACCTGAGGAGCTTGTAAAAGGCAGGTTTCGGTTCCGCGGGCCTAGGTGGGGCCCAAGTCCCTGCCTTCCCTGCAAGCTCCTAGGTGACGCGAGTTCACCCCTGCACGGCAGGAATACAGATCAGATGGGAAGCGCCTGGCGTGGGGAAGGTTAGTCAACGGGAACCGCCGCCCTTCAGGTGATCCCGCCCCCCTCCCCATCTCCACCAAACGGACAGACGAATCAGGAAGGCTCTGCTCACCCCCGAATTCTCAGGGAAACAAGAAAAAACGAGCTTTCTCTGAAGGAGGGCCGGGCTGCCCGCCCCTCCCCAGCACCTGCTCTGTGAGCACACGTGCGCCGCAGGCGGCCCCCGCCGCCGCCGGGAAACCTGCGAGGCTCAGGCCTCGACTCGCCTCAGAGGAAAAGCATCCTCTGAGCCGGGCACAGGCCTCGTTCCTCCTCCGGCTGCCGCGCTCGGGGGAATTTTCAAAGCACACAGGGTCCGCCTGGCAGGAGTCTCCTGGGACCTAAATATGCACTCAGGACTTGGGTTTTAAGGCCCACGGTGTCTTTTGGACTCGCGGGCTGTGCGCTGGGCTTCCTCCTCCCCCTCATCCACATGCAGCCCCAGAGGGCCCTCCACTGTTAGGGAGAGACAGCGGAGCTGGAGGAGACGCCCAGTGGGGGTCAGGGGACACCTTCCCCTGGACCCCCGGCCCCCCGGCCCGGCCCAGCGGGCCTTGCTGGAGTTCTGCTCTGCCTGCGAAAAGGCCTGCTTCTCCACAAGCTGCTGACTCACTCACCCAGGGCGAGGGTCGTCTTCCTCTCCCAGAATCGCCACAGAGCCCAGAGGTTTTTGAGGTTGGTTTAATGAGCAGCTCCGTCGCCACCATTTCCTTTTCCTTTATGGTCCCAGTCTCCATCCCAGCCCTGCCCCCCTCCCCCCAATGCCACCGTCCTGCCAGGCGGGAGAGTGGACACCCAGTGGCTCTGCCCTGCTTTTCATATTGAGTTTCTCTTCTTTGTAGGTCTTGACGCACTGACTGGCCGCGGAGTCCAAGTGTGAAAAGAGTCCCAGGATGTAAGCGATACGGGGCTGGTGAGTGAGGTGCCCGTGGCGGGCCGGGGGGCCTCGGCGGGCGGTGGGGGGGGCGTGTCACGAAGGGAAAGATGAACAGGAGGGGCGGGGGCCGTTCGGAGACTGCTTCCGTCCCCATGCACCTGGACGCGGCGCCGTGCGGAGGGTCCAGGCGTGCGTCCGCTGCAGTGACCGGGTCCCTGCCAGCCTCTCCCCGGAGGCACGGGGAGCCTGCAGGTGGCTGGGCCGTCCCGCCTGCCCTGAGAACACGGCAGCCCAGAGTCGTCACCGTCCAGAGAGCATATGCTCGGTCTCCAGGGAATGTCTAACCAGGGCGTGGAAGACAGTCTTGGCGTGGCGAGGGCACTGCCTGGCTCGCGCCAGGTTGTAAGCCACGGCCCCGAGGAGACAGGACTGAAGAGAGGTGAGAAAGCTGCCGTCGCGTGTTTCAAGGCTGTCACCGACAGGAGGCCGGTGAACAGCTATTGACTTAACCTGAGGAACCACCCCCCCCAACGACACAAAGGAGGTAGGCAGAGGTCAAATAGGCGTCCAGTGGAAGTAGTGAGTTCCCTGTTGCTGGCAGAATTCAAGCGCAGGTTGGAGAAGCGTCGATGAGGGATGTTGAGGTGGGGAGTGGTTTTGAGTAGAGCAGTGTTTCCACAGAGTCTGTTCCGTGGTGATCCAGAAACCTCGAGGGGCGCAGGGTGAGGGAGAGGGCTTAGGGCGCGTGAACGAGGCACGCTTCTGAGCTCGCGCACACAGGCTCTCGGTGCCACCCGGTGTGGGTGGTGGGTTCTGCGAGTAAACGGCTCCGAGGCTGCTGGCTGGAAGGATGCTCGGGTTCCTTCTAAGACGTGCCATTCACTGGCCAGGTGTCACTGAGCTAACGCCTGACAGCTGCGCCTGTCACAGGTGTGATTCCAAACACCTGTGTCTGTGATGGGGTGGACGGCTCTCCAAGCACGACGGGGGTTTTGACCAGCGCCTCTAGGAAGCTCTCTCAACCAGGACCCCTGAGAGATTTATCAGCTTGTCACACCATCGAGAGATCTGGCCCAGGGTCCAGACCACGCAGACAGGAGAAAAGGCCTGGGGGGCGCTGTGGGGGGTGCTGTGGGAGGGCAGTGAGCGCGGCTTCCCCAGGGAAGGTGGGGCTCTGGTGGGACCAGTCACCAAGACCTGGGGCCTCCAAGCCTGAGAAGAACTGCACCCCAGACCCCCTGTGGGGAGATTGCACAGGAGGGACACCCGTGGCAAACGGGAGGGTCTGGATAATGAGCCGCCACGCAGCTTCCTGAGTGCTCTGTCCCTGGGCCTTCTTCCCCGGGCCGGGTCAGCGGTAAATGTTTGCCAAGGGCCCCTGCAGGCGGCGCAGCCTCGGAGGCCAGAGGCGGTGTTTCTCTTTAAGAGACTGACAGCCTGGGTGAGAATGGAGTTGGACAGTCGTCGACACCGGCTGGACTTTCTGCAGAGTCCAGAGCTCGGGGGGGTGGGCGGGGGCGGCAGGAGGGGAGGGCAGGGCTGTGGAGCTGTGCGTTTGAGTCGTGCCCTGGTGCTTCCTAGTCTTCGAGCAGGTGTTGGGCTTTGAAGACAGAGACTTTGTCCTTGGTTCACAGGACCTGGCACATAGTAGGTGCGCAGTAAGTGACTGTCCAATAGCTGAGAGGGAAAGTGATGAGGAAGCAGCTCAGGGAGGTGACATCTGTGTTAAGAGCAGAGTCCCTGGAGGTTGACTGCCCAGGTTCAAATCCCATCTCTCTTCCACTAGCGGTGGGGCCTTGGGCAAGTTGCCGACCACTCTGTGCATCAGTCTCCTGCCTGTAAAATGGGGATCGTGATAACACCTGATGCATCAGGTGGCTGTGAGGGTTCGGTGAGTTCATACAAGTCAAGCTGCTTGGCCCTGGGCCAGTTTTATGTGGCAGGAAGTGCCACACTCCAGCTGGCTGAGCCCCACCAGCCAGGGCTCATCTGTTTTTTGCCTTCTTTGGGTCTTGCATTCATGTCTTTAATTTATCCTGAGTTAATTTTATTATATGGTGTAAAATAGAGGTCTAGGTTTGTTCTTTTGCTTATGGCCGTCCGTTTTCCCAGCACCACTTGTTGAAGAGACTCCCCTTTCTCCATTGTACATTCTTGGCTCCTTCGCTGTAAAACAGTCGTCCACGGAGGTGTGGTTCACTCTGAGCTCTCCTCTGTCCCCTTGGCCTGTGTGTCTGTTTTTCTGCCAGTACCATGCTCTTTTGATAACCATAGCTTTGTAGTATAGTTTGACGTTAGAAAATGTGAAACCTCCAGTCCCGTTCTTTTTTTTCTCAGAATTGCTTTAGTAAAACAAATTCCCGGACCCAGCTTTTCTTTTTTTATGTGTAGTGTCAACCTGCTCTGAGTGGGACAAAAACCCATACATCACATCACATCGCCTTTTACTTTGCTTTTCTTTTGTCTTCTCTTTCCTCGTAAGACAGATGGCAGGAACCTGCCAATTATGCCAATCTCTGAGCAGCCTGTGAACTAAGAATGGTTTCGTATTTTTAAAGAGTTGTTTAAAAAAAAAAAAAGAATAGAGAACAATGTGTGACAGAGAGTGCGTATGACTTGCCAAGCCTGGAGCATTTACTGTCTGGGCCTTTCCAGAAAAAGTTGGCCGACTGCAGAAAGAACACCAGCCACAGAGTCACCAGACCTGCGTCTGGACCCTGCAGCGGCTGCTCAGGGGGAGCACTTGAGAGCACTGCAGGGACCCCCCTCCCCCCCGAGTGGCGGCTCTCGCGACAGTTGTGGCGGCAGCAGCCGTGACAGAAGGAGTAGAGGTGCTGGGCATCGCTCACTGAGCATTTGCTCTGTTAAGCACAGTGGTAAGAGCTTCAGCTCCTCAGTCCCCTCACACAGCCCCGTGAAGCGTGCGCTGTTCCCAGCCCTCGGACGTGAAGAGAAACCTGAGCGGCTGGGGCAGCGGGTCACTGGCGCGTGACCACACAGTGAGAGGAGCTGGAGCTGGAGCTGGCGCTGGGCCGTGAGCCCCGGCTGTCCCACTCCACACTCGGCTCCTCTGCCTCCCTGCTGTGGCCATTACCTCTGCTTTTAAGCAAAGATCTCTTTGGCTATGTCTTCCCCTGGTTACTTTCCTGACCTCTTTTCTCCCCAGTTCTCTGGCAAAAAAAAAAAAAAAATGTGTTTCCACCATAAAAGGGAAAATAAAAAATGGAAGAGCTGTCAGAAACAGCTCTGAGACGTGACCATCTAAAATTTTGGTTCCGGCATTCACCCATCCGTCTGCCCATTTAGCCAACACAACCGCAGGAACTTGTGAGAGCCCTCCCTCTTGACAGTGACATCGGGACGAATCCCTGCGCCTGGGTCCCCCGAATGTGATGCCACAGGGCAGCTCATTAAGTAGCACCCAACACTTGGTGAATATGCTGCAATTCAGGCAGCACCAGGCTGTTTCAGCATTCCTCCCCCACCCCCCGTTACCATGACGACATTATTTTAACAAACAGCTCCTTAATATTTAATGAAAACTGTGCTCCCGACAGGCGAGCAGAAGAGCAGCCACGCTACCAAGGGTCAGCAAGGACATTCCGCACGAAGGCCGCGGTGCCCCCCGCCCCGTCCCACCCCCAGTCCCCGAGTGCCACCGTCACCGGGCGCGCACGTGCTCTGGGGGGCGGGGCCCACCTGATGCGGGGCCTCCGCTACGTGCTGCAGTTGAGGGCCGTCACTTCTTCAATGCTGAATGCCACAACGACGACGACGGCTCCACGAGGAGCAGGGTGGCGCGATAGCATTATGAAACGCTCCTCTGTACGCCAATCCACTAACTTCCCCGCTGCTCACCCCAGGCGGCTGAAAGCCTCGCTTGCTCCCCGGGTCTGGAATCAAGCTGGATGGTGAGGCGGCGTGTAGAGAGCCCGGAGCACGCGTGTGCCAGCGTGAGGAGGAGCTCACGTCCTCTTCCAGGCGCCCTCTGGTCCCACATTGCTGGATCAGGAACAACAAGCAGGTGCAGGGACCGGGGACCCAGTCCCCCGCCTCAAGGGGATGGATGTCAGGGAGAAAACACCAGCGGGGCACAGAATGTGCTGTGGCAGTCTCCACCACTGTGGTGGTCTCACTGTGTGCTAAGCACTGGGAAGGCACAAATTCATTACGATCCAGATCCCCAGTGGGAGAGACGGATGGCTAACTCTGACAGAGTGGGAAGAGTGCTCCCATGGTGATCTGTTAGCTGCGTGCCCTTGGGGAAGTCACTTAACCTCTCTGTGCCTCCGTTCTCTCATCAATAAATTGGAGACAACAACACTACCTATATGCCAGCCTAACTGTTATCGTGAAGTTCAAAAAAATGAAGTAAACGTATAAACCAGCACTAAAACAGTTATTAAAATACTCCAAAGAGTGAACACATGGTAATTCTTAAATAATTGCTATCCAAGATTCTAGGTTCCCATGGTACCGTGCATACAGTTTTAACAATAGCTGACATCTATTACGGGCTTCCTTTGCTAAGCGGTGGAGTTCCACGGTCTCCTTTTGTCTTCACGGGCAACCCTGTAAGGGTCTCACGGTCATTGCCCGCACCTCTCAGATGAGGAGACTGGGGCCCAGAGGGACTGGGGACCTTGCCCAGGGTCGTGAGGCTAGGGAGGGGGACTGGAATCCAGTCTGTCTGCGGTGGCCTCCTAACAAACACAAGGTGCAAGGGGCACACACACGATGATGCTGTGGGAGGAGGGCGCACGGGTGGGCTCCAGGCAGAGCCGTCCAGGCGAGGCGGCCGAGGGTGCCTTCAGGGGCTCTCAGCCCCCCACGGACATAGGACAGGATTTGAAGCCGGAGCAGCAATGCTAAGTAGGAGGACCTGAGGAGTCTGGGGAAGCTACACTTGGAAGGGGACCACTGTCTGGAGGACTGTTCAAAAGGCAGGTTCTTGGCATTGAGTGGGAGCTTATCTTAAACAAATATGGCCTGTTTATTGAAAAATGTGCCTTGGATTTTTATTTAAGATGCGTGGA